AAATAGCTCATCCTTTGTGGTGTTACTTCAACTAAAATATCTGTCTCTGCAATATCAAATGGGTTTATTCAAAAAATTTCATCGGCTTTCACTCAAGAAACATCATCTGCTTGTACGTCTTCTCAATCCAAAGGACAATGGTTTTTTGTTGAAGGAGCTAATTTAAATATTAAATTTGATACTTGCTCTTCAATTACTGATTATCCAACTTCTATATACATTCTTCAAATTGATAAAAAACAATATGTTGATGGACTGGAAATTGATATTACAGATATGGATTGTATTACTGATACAAAATGCCTCCAAGCAAGTTATACTGGTTGTCCAAACAATAACAATTTAGCTTCTACTGTAATAGCCATGGACAACACTCATGATTACTTTATTCATGTAGTCCAACAATCACCATTAGGATCTGAGTATATTATATCTGCATCAGTTGTTTGTCCAATGAATTGTGGAGGAAATGGAGTTTGTGATATTCACACAGGAACATGTACTTGTAAACCTGGATATACATTAAATTCTGGTATTTGTTCATTATGTGGGAATGGGGTATATGATGTTGGAGAAGATTGTGATCCATCGGTATCATCTGACCCTTTATGTGATTCCTCATCTTGTTATTGTAAATTAGGATATTCTTCTTTCTCAGTTGCAGGTAAAACAAAATGTGCACCTCCTTCTTGTGGAAATGGAGTCCTTGATCCTTTAGAAGAATGTGATGGAGGAGAAGGATGTGGATCAAATTGTCTTTGTGGGGATGGTTATGTTCCATACAATGAATTAAGAACCTATTGTCTTTCAAATTTATGTGGAAATGGTGAAATAGATGAAGGAGAAAAATGTGATGGAGGTGATGGGTGTTATCAATGTGAATGTCAAAGTGGTTGGTATTCACATGGTACTGTTTCATGTAGAAAAGTTTCTGTATGGTTATACTGGGTATTATATCTAGTAACGATAATTATCTTATATTGGATATTCTTAATTATTACTGGATTCTTCATTGGATTATTGTATCACCGTTTAAATAAAATAATCAAAAGTGACTTAGAGAATTTAGACCTCATAGAATCTAAGATGCAAGTTTTTGATAATCAAGTTATTCCATTTGATTCTTCTAATTCTCAATTTATAGATGCTACAATAAGTAATCCATTATTTTCTTTTAATCCGTATAAAGTTACATTTGATGATTGTGGAGATATCCCTGATGTAGATGATCCTGTTGTTACAGTTGTCACATTAACAAATCTAAGAGATGAAAACTTACATTTCATTTTTCATGGAGAGGATAATGAAAAGTATAAATTGGCATTTAAACCAACCACAGGTATTATTAAAAAGAATAAATCTATTGATATTGAAATACATTTATTAGTTAAATGCACTTGTATTCTTCGATGTAAGATTCCTGTAACATTAAGATATGGACAAGCAAAAGATGTAATCAAAGATCTTCAAATAAATAATCCTGAATTAATTGAAAACAACTTACAAAATTCACAAAAGTCTGGTGAATTTGATAATAAATCAAATCCATCAAGTAAACAATCTTCAACTATTCATTCTAGTGTATCGAATTCATCAACAAAGAAAAAGAAGAATAACAAAAATATTAATAAATTTTATACTTTCTTAACATTTGAAATATCTTCAGGGCTATCTACAAAACTAGATTATGATGAAATTGTATTACAACCACCAAGTATTGGTGAAGGTACATTTGGAGTTGTTTATAAAGGAATTTGGAGAAGTGTTGATGTAGCAGTAAAACAATTAAAAACACAAGGGGTAAGTGATGTAGATAAACTAGTAACTATGTTTACTAGAGAAGCAGAACTTCTTGAAAAGATTAGATGCCCTTATATTGTTAGTTTTATTGGTTGTGTTACTAACAAAGAACACCTTTGTTTATTGACTGAATTTTGTCCATTAGGCTCATTAAGAAAAATTCTTAAAAAGAGAGATGATTTAAATGAACAAGTAAAAATTAGAATATGTCAAGACATATCAAAAGGAATGGAATATCTACATATTAATGATATTCTTCATTCTGACCTTAAAACTGATAATGTCTTAATGGTATCATTAAATCCACATGACTCTGTACTATGTAAAGTTAGCGATTTTGGTACATCAAGATGTTTTGTAGAATCTTCAAAAGGTCTTGGAATTAAAGATATTGGAACTCCTGTATATATGGCTCCAGAAGTCCATCAATCAGAACAAATTACATTAAAATCTGATGTTTATTCATTTGCTATTTGCATGTTAGAAATATGGAACAATGGAAGTTTGTATGATGAACAACATTTTCCAGATGTAGATTCTATTCTTCGTTTTGTTTGTGCTGGAAAAAGACTTGAAATTCCACAAGAGTGTCCATATAAAGGATTAATTCAAAGGTGTTGGAACCAAGTTCCACAAGAACGTCCACAATTTAAAGAGATTTCTCTGATTCTTGATACTTATAGTCATCAAGATGAGTTTTCTGCTGAAGGGTCTATTAATTCTCGTTCTGAATCACCAACAACACCTTCATTTATTCATAAATCACAAACACCAGTTAAAGCTGGTATTGTTATGAGTAAAAAAAAGTTATCTTTTAATCCAAATGGATTAATAGGAACATTAACAAAAAGTCCAAGAGAAAATAAAAATAATCCTTCATCTTTACAAAAATCTCCTTCAATAAGAAGTCTAAAAAGAGACTTTCCTAAAAGTGCTTTTACTTCATCTTCTGCTTTAATTCCTACAACTGTTTTAAGTCCACAAGAAATAAAAGTTGAAACACAAAACGCTTATCCTCTTTGTCCTAGTGCGGATATAAGACTTCATAAAAATTTAACTACTCAAAGTATGCAAAGACTAAGTGCTTCTCCTACTTATAATATTATTGACCTTGATCCTTATGAAAAACATCCTCTAGAAGAAATTCTTAATCCAGAATTACTTACAACAGAACAACAAAAACATGGAAAATTTAAGTTATGTTCAACAGTATCTTCTACCAAACTACAAAGTGCCACCCCCACTTTCAATGAAAATCAAAATTCTCCAAAAACGCCGAAGGGACAAAAACACAGTATTATCACTACTCAGTCTATAAAAACTAGTATTTCTGAAAATCAAACTCCAAGAAATACTGAACAAAAAGGAGTAAATTTAAAAGAAGATATAATAACACCTGAGAATTAATAAACAAAAAAAGTTATCTTTAAAGATTTTCATTTAACAAATTATCTTATTCTAATAAACCATAAAATTAAATAAACATATAATAAATTAATTTATTTTTTAAACTTTATTTTCATTAAAGTCAATTAAAAAAGCATTAATTTCTCTATTAAAAATTCTTTCTAATGTTCCTCTATTAAAACGGGTATCAAAAAGAATATCTGCATATCTTGCATATTCTCTTGATGATGGCTGGTTTTTCATTCTATTTATACATTCTTCCCTTGTCATACCCCTTCCTGCTGTCATACGAGCAATGGCAATTTCAGGTGAGACAGTTGTAACCCAAATCATATCCATCCAATTCATCCAATTTGTACGAATGAGTAGTGCTGCTTCTACTGCAACAATTTTTTCTCCTTGAATTTCAAATTGTTGAATCTGCTCTTTAATTTTATTTTCTATTGAACTCCACATAATTTCATTTAACTTCTTGAGTTGTTTCTTATTTGTAAAAACAACATCACTCAATAATTTTCTATCAACTTGGCCTTCTTCATTAAATACTCCTTCCCCAAAACTTTCTTTAATCTCTTTCTTAACATCTTCTTGGAGAATAACATTATGTCCAATAGTATCACTATCAATTGTTTTAATTCCTTTACTTTGAAGAGCTTTACACAGTCGAGACTTTCCTGAACAAATAGAACCTGTGATACCAATAACAAATATCTTTTTCATAACAAAAACTATTTTTATTTAGAGTTGATTCTTTTTTTTTAAAAAATAAATCATTTTTTATAAAATTTTGTTCAAGTAGTATTTAATCTTTTAAAAATATAAATAACAAATAACTTTTTAAACAGTGTCTTTAATAACAAAAATAAAAAACAAAACCCTGATGAAATGTTTTTTATTTTATAAAATTTGAATAAAAGAACCCTAGATCTTTCTTTAATTTTCAAGTAGTGATGGCTAGGGGTCTTCATGCTGCTCGTAAAATGCTTGCTCAAAGAAGAGCTAACAAATGGGCTGATAAAGAATGGAAAAAAGGAAAGCTTGTTACTAGATATAAGTGTAATCCACTTGGAACTGCTTCACATGCCAAAGGACTTGTTCAAGAAAAACTTGGTATTGAAACCAAACAACCAAACTCAGGTATTAGAAAATGTGTCAGAGTTAGATTATTGAAGAACGGTAAAAAAATCACTGCTTTTGTTCCACGTGATGGTTCACTCAACTATGTCAATGAAAACGATGAAGTTTTAATTTCTGGTTTCGGTAGAAGAGGACATGCCGTCGGAGATATTCCAGGTGTTAGATTCAAAGTTGTTTGTGTTGCTGGTGTTTCTCTTTGGGGTCTTTGGACTAATAAAAAACAAAAACCACATGCTTAAGTAAAAGTGTTTTGTTATTTGCTTTACTTTTTTCTAATATTTGTTGAACAATAATAACAACAATCAATAATATTTAAGTCAATGATTAAAGAAACTTAAAAGATCCCTGAAAGCATTCACATAAGCCTCTAAGATATTGAAAGAAATGTTTACCCATGAAATTTTTGTATGAATAGCATTATTGAAGAGAGATAATACTAAAACCAAAAAAGCAAAGGTTACTGCTAAAGCAACCACACTCTTTCTACCTAATTCGAAAAATAATATTAACCCAACTCCTACACTTGCGTCTGTTTCATAAGTACTCTTTTTATAAATCTCTAATTAACAAAACAAGACTAAAGTCCTAGTTTTTCATTAACTAGCGACCCTCTAAAATTATAAAAAATTGACAAACACAAGAAACTTCCAATATAGCCTTCCATATAAAATTGACCTCGTGCATCAGGACTGAAATAATTAATATTATGTTTTCTGTCAACTCCGAATGTTGGTGGTTGGTGCATAACATTATACACTAATCCTCCAACTGAAAACACAAAAATAATCATTGAAAAGACATACCAAAATAACCAATGTTTAATAAGTTTTGGGAATATAAAGTACAATGTACCAACAATACAAAATGATAAAACAAAAGCAATGCCAATAGTAATTCCCATTGTTCTTTTACTCTTTTTAGTTCTTTTTTTTATTTTTTGTCAATTTAAAGTCAGTTCCTTGTTTTGAAGAACTTATAATCTCACTTTTCAGATATGATTGCAAGAACGAAAAATGAAAATGAAAAGACATAACTATAAGATGGTAGTGTATCTTTAAATTATATATATTTGATTAATGAACTCTATTAAAGTGCTTGTCTTGAAAAAACATCCTGGAGGAATTCATTTATGGAATAAATTATCGAAACTCTCCCAAAAATATGGTGGATATAAAATAAATGTTTCTATACTACGAGAAGATGGATTTGGATATGAAGATATAAGAAAGGCATCTCCTGATGTTTTATTTCTTTCAGACTCAGCAGGGAGTCCAACTGTTATAACAGACAGAGAAATGGAAGCAATTCAATTATATGTGACACAAAACACAGGAAAATCAATAATCGCTAGCTACGCAACATTCTTTTATGAGGAAACGTATCACCAAGCTGTCTTAAGGTATGACAATAGAAAGTTACTTCCATTATTTGGAATAAAACAAGATACACAATTTTTTTCAATAAAAAATCGTTCTATAAAACTAAAAAGTTGCAATAAAAATGGTGAACTTTTATTAAATGGAATCGATAGAAAAATTCAAGGATACTTATCAACCCAAGCAGTAGTCGGTGGTTGGGAACAATCTCTATTGGATGGGACAATAATTGCACAAGACCTTAAATCATCTGCTGTGATTATTCAGCGAACAACACCTTGTTACTCTGCAATGTATGTCAATTCAATGCCAGAATACAGTGACACAGATGTGTGTTGTGATAGTGAGCTTGTATATCGAATGATTACTTATTGCTACAAACTCTCCCACTCAACACTACAGACACTTTGCTGCCAATCAATTAACTCAACAAATAAACTTAAGTTATTATTAAAATCAGCTAACTTTGAAAAAACACCACCTATTCCAAAACACTTATTTCTTTCAACTTGTTTACACAAATTTAAATTTTCTCAACAACGATTAAAGTACTTCAATGATATAGGTATTTCTTCTGAGTTAACTAACCTTGCTTCATTTAAAACAAAAAAATATGCTCAAACTTGTTCTTGGAGGGAGCCTTGAACAATATATAAAAAAGTAATACAAACTTTCCACATAACCAAATTCAATTGATTTAAGATCTGTATCTCTTAAGTTGAAGAAGGTTTCTTCTCTTCAAATTACCACGAGCACCAGCACCAATCTTGTTATATCTTCTTCCTTTACCAGTGAATCCTCTTGATTTCTTAGCAGCTGAAGTAAGTCCTCTAGCTTCTCTTCTCTTTTGTTTATCAGCACAAATCCAATTCATCTTTGGATCGTTTCTAATGGCAGCGTTAAATGGATCAACAAGGATGACTTCAAAGAATCTGTAAGTTGAGTCTTGTCCAATGAAGTATGAATTGAGAACTCTAAGAGCTCCACAGTGTTTTCCAACTCTTTGTTCTGCAATGGCTTGAAGTGATTTGACTCTCTTAATCTTATGAATACCTTGGCAAGCTGGTTTTCTGTGAACAATACCTTTTCTGGCACTAACCTTTCTGTTTCCTCTATGAATTCTAACTGAGTAAATGACAAATCCGTCTTTTGGTTTATATCCTAATCTTCTAGCTCTTTCTGGGTTAGTTGGTCGTGCAACACGGTGAATTCTTGGGAGATGTCTTAATTCCCAGCATCTAATACGTCTAAGGAATCTTAAGACATCACTTTGTTTCTTTCTATTAAGGGCGTTGATGTATTTATAAGCTCCCATCGATCCGAGTTCTACTTACTTTAGTTTTTAGGTTTTATAGTTCCTTATACTAGGGTTCTTATTATTCTTTTTTTTATACTTTTTACTATTTCTCAATTCGGTCTGTTCTTCCTTAATACTCTTTTCTTCCTGTTTTTATCCATTATTCTAATCAATTTTATCTAACTAAAATTTTACCCATTTTTCCTCAATTTTCCAGTCTTATTCTCATGACTTCTTCAATTACTCTCATATCACTTTAAAATGATTATTCACTCCTTCAAAAATCATCTCATTAATTAACTCACCTTTACTCTGAATGGATGACACTAGTGCTGCAAAGAGAAACGACTACACCAGTAAATCTTGGTATGATT